ATGACATGACATGACATGACATGACATGACATGACATGACACACCAGGCCGTGTCATCCCACACCACGCCACACCATGCTATGCGATGCCACGCCACGCCACGCCACACCATGCCACACCACGCCACGCTGCATCACACCATGCTATGCGATGCCGCGCCACGCCACGCCATGCCATGCCATGCCACACCATGACACGCCACACTGCATCACACCATGCTATGACATGCCACGCCATGCTAGGCCATGTCATCCCAGCCACGCTGCATCACACCATGCTATGACATGCCACGCCATGCTAGGCCATGTCATCCCACCCACACCACATCACACCATGCTATGCGATGCCACGCCACGCCACGCCACACCATGCCACCCCATGCCACGCCGCATCACACCAGGCTATGCGATGCCACGCCACGCCACGCCACACCATGCCACCCCATGCCACGCCGCATCACACCAGGCTATGCGATGCCACGCCACGCCACGCCACACCATGCCATGCCACACCACGCCACACCATGCCATGCCACATCACACCATGACAAGCCACACCACGCCATGCCACACCACGCCATGCCATGTCACACCGTGCCAAGCCAACACCATGCCATGCCACACCACACCATGCCACGCCACATCATGCCATGCCATGCTACGTCATACTGTGCCATGCCACACCATGCCATGCCACGTCACACCATGCCAAGCCATGTCACACCGTGCCAAGCCACACCATGCCATGCCACACCACACCATGCCGCGCAGTGTCACGCCGTGCCACAGTCGGCAGGGCCATGCCTCAGTGCTGGGTGGTGGCAGTGGCAGGGGCAGAGGTGGCAGCCCCGGGGTGTCTGCTGGGGGCTGCAGGTGACCCCCACCCATGGGACACCCACCCCAGCCACCATCCCCGACTGTGGGGTGGGCATGGGGCTGGAGTGATGGAGGGTCCTGCGTGTGGCCAGCCAAGCCAGGGTGGCCCCTGCCCTGCGGGGTCACTCCCCCACCCTAGGCTTTGCACTCAAGCCTGGAGAGCCCCCAAAAGAGCGGGATTTTCCCACCCATAAACCACACCCGCATCATTTAACCCCCATGAGAGCAACGAGCTGAGCGACGTCATCTTGGGAAACCTTTATTTCCACCTCCATCACCAACAAATACCCCCGTTCCCGATAACAGAAACCACAGTATTTCCAACAAAATGTAGATAAGTTAAAAGCAAGGGGTGGACACAATAATTAAATATAAAAGCATTGGACAGACACAATAAATACGTATAAATCAGGGTGACTCGGGCCCATGGGGCCCAGAGCTGCTATTTCACCTGAAATAGATGGGGAGGATGGGGCTCCCAGCGGGGGGGTCTGTACTTGGTACATACGGCCTGAAAACCAGCGACTGCCGGTTGGGTTGGACTGGGTGCGGGGGCTCCTCAGCGCCCGCTCAGCGCGTAGGTGGCAATGTTGACCTGGTCGGGCTGGTTGGTGATGCCGACGGGCTGGCGGGGCTGCAGGGAGGTGCAGATGAACCAGCCGGGGAAGGCGACCGACTCAAAGCGGGTGGTCCCCTGGACTGGGCTGTCCAGGCGGTAGAAGATGAAGCGGGTCAGCTCCATGCTCTCGATGTCCCTCCTGATGTCAGCTTCCTGCAACCAAGGGGGTGAAACGGGGATCAGGGTGGGATGGAACCCCCAGCCCCACAGGGGATGGAGCCGTTGGGACCCCCCGCTCACCTCCAGCTGCAGCACGGGTTTGGAGCCGCTCATCACGCACGACATGTAGAGTTGGTAGCCCTTGATGCCCAACGCCACTGGCATCCGCCCGGTCCCCGGGCCGCCCTGCGATGACCGGGGACGGTACAGAGCAATGTTGAGCTTCACTGCAGAGAGAAGGGACAGGTTAACGGGTGGTCCCGAGGCTGTGGGGTGGCTCCCAGGTGGTCTCAGGGTTGGGGATGGGAACATTGGATCAGGACTCTGCCCGCTCACCTTTCCGCCCAGCAGAGGGTCCCTGCAGGTGCAGGGCCACCAGCTGGGTGGGCGACTCCAGCACGAAGCATTTCTGGTCGATGTCGAGGATGTCAAAGGACTGGGAGCGGGTGTAGCGGTAGACGGGCGCCCCAGCATAGCTGCCCTCGATCTGCTGGAAGGAGACAGGCTCTGCGGGGAGGGAGACGGTCAGGGGGTTGCTGAGGCTCCCGGGTCCAAGAGGATCCCCCCAAAAGCATCCCCCAGCTGGGGTGACACCCCCAACACCACCCCCCCATACCGAAAAGATCATCCAGGAAGTCCCCAAGGTCACTGTCGGCAAAGTCCTTGTGCGCCGGCCGCTTCAGGAGCTTGGTCATGGCCACCACAAGGATGGCAGCTCGGCGAAAGGTCCTGACAGGGTGTCCGTTGGTCACCATCAGCTGGATGTCCACCCCGGGCGATGTCACCTCTGAGTCCAGCTGGTGTTTCTGAGGAGGGAAGGGGACGTGGGGTGAGAGCCCGGCTTCCTCATCCATGGGGGTTTCGCCGCTCCCAGCACCCCAGCATTACCTTCTGCAGGCAGAGGCAGTCGGGACCATAAAACGTCTCCTCGTTCAGGCTGAAAGGCAAAGGGAGGTGGTGAAGCCAAGGCCACCATGGCACCAGGGCAGCACCGTGTCCCCGGTGTCCCCTCCAGCACGGCCACGCTTACCTGCTGCTCTCCAGTGTGTCCAAATCGGGGACGAACGCCATCACTGCCGCTGACTGCAGAAACCCGGGCAGAGACCTGCTGGTGCCTGTCGAGTGCCGCGGTACCGGGCTGCCTGCTCCTGCCTGCTCCTGCCTGTCCTGTCCGCAGCGTCGCTGGGGCGTGCTCTGAGCCCGGCGGTGGCGCGGCGGGTTTTCAAGAGCTGCTGGAAGGAAGCGCCGTCAGAGCGGGATTTCCACCTTTCGCAACGCCCGGGTTTGCTCAATTCCTCTGGCGAGACCGAGAGTGCTGGGGGGCTGGCTGCCCCCAGCCGCGCTGCGGGACTGGTTTTGCCAGGATGGAGTTAATTTTATTCCTAGCAGCTGGCACAGTGCTGTGGTTTGGGTTCAGTGCCAGAAGAACGTTGACACCACCCTGATGGCTCAGTTGGTGCTGAGCAGTGCTTACACCAGGCAAAGACTTTTTCGGCTTCCCCTGCTCTGCCAGGGGCACAAGGAGCCGGGCGGGGGCACGGCCGGGGCAGCCGACCCCAACTGGCCCAAGGGCTATTCCAGACCATACGGCATCATGCTCGGGGGGAGTTGGCCGGGGGGGAGCGATCGCTGCTGGGGACAGGCTGGGCATTGGCCAGCGGGTGGTGGGCAATTGCACTGTGCATCACGGGCTGCGTACACTCCGTGTATTCTCTCCCCATCGTTACCGTTATTACTCTTTTGTCTTATTAAACTCTCTTTATCTCAACCCATGGAGTCTACTTTTTTCCCTCTGATTCTCTTCCCTGCCACACCGAAGTGGGGGGGTGAGCTGGGGGGTGTTCAGCTCCCCGCCAGGTTAACCCACACCAGCCCTTTTTGGCACCCAACGTGGGGTAGGAAGGATTGAGACAACAGACCTGTCCAGAGCAGGTTCAGAGAGAAGCATTCATTGTATTGGCCTAATGGTTGCTGACTGCAGTGGGTTTTTCTTTGCTCTCAGAGCTGTTGTCCTTGTTCTCCGAGCTGTGCCGAGCACCTCACCCGCTGCCTCCGCTCCCGTGGCGCGGGTTCTCACCTCGGGCAGCTGGGTTGAGGTTCCCGCTTTGCCGTACTGTGTCACACTGGCCTGTGCGATGATAAAATTATCGGTCATGAGATCCGTCTTGTGTTTGTACTCAGCACTGCCATCACCTTTGTATTTTGGGAGCCATCTATTGGGAATTATTAATGATTATACAAGTTATGCCTTTTACTGTTTCTCCTCGGAGAGCCAGCCTATGGGGGAGACACCTTCCTCCATCTTCCCCTTCTTCTCCAGGCTGATTACATCAGCTCTTGAGAATTTTGAGTATCCTTGGGATGTTCAAACCTTGCTAGGTCTCCTCACTCAAGAACTGGCGTGGCTGGTTGAGAGGGCTTTAAACTTGGCCTGAAGGGGGGAGGGGATATAACCAGGCTCACTGGAGAGGAGCCTGGGGGTGACACCCCAATGCTGGGGGTGAAACCGATAGCCCAGCTCAAGTGCATCTACACCAATGCACGCAGCTTGGGCAGCACACAGGAGGAGCTGGAAGCCACTGTGCAGCAGGATAGCTATGATGTCATTGCCATCACAGGAACGTGGTGGGATGCCTCCCATGACTGGAGTGCTGCAACGGATGGCTACAAACTCTTCAGAAGGGACAGGCAGGGAAGGAGAGGCGGCGGGGTGGCTCTGTATGTTGGGGAGTGTTTTGATTGTACAGAGCTTGACGCTTGTGGTGAGGCCGAGTGCTTATGGGTGAGGATGGGGGGGGAGGCCAACAAGAACGATATCCTGTTGGGAGTCTGTTACAGACCACCCGACCAGGACAAGGATGTTGACGAAGTATTCTACAAGCGGCTGGCAGAATTCTCTCAGTCGTGAGCTCTTGTTCTTGTGGGGGACTTCAACTTCCCAGACATCTGCTGGAAATACAACACAGCAGAGAGGAAACAGTCCAGAAGGTTCCTGCAGTGTGTGGAAGAGAACTTCCTGACACAGCTGGTAAGGGAGCCCACCAGGGGAGGTGCCCTGCCTGACCTCCTGTTCATTAACAGAGAAGGACTGGTGGGAGAGGTGGTGGTCAGAGGTCGTCTTGGCCTTAGCGATCATGAAATGGTAGAGTTTTCAATTTTTGGTGAGGTAAGGAAGGGGGTCAGCAACACTGCCACCGTGGACTTCCGGAGGGCAGACTTCAGCTTGTTCAGAACGCTGGTTGGGAGAGTCCCTTGGGAGACAGTCCTGAAGAGCAAAGGGGTCCAGGAAGGCTGGGTATTCTTCAAGGAAGAAGTCTTAAAGGCTACAGGAGCAGGCTGTCCCCATGTGCCGGAAGACGAATTGGCAGGGAAGACGACCGGCCTGGCTGGACAGAGAGGTCTTTTACTGAGACTCAGGAAAAAAAGGAGAGCTTACCAGCTCTGGAAGAAGGGGCAGGCAACCCAAGAAGGGTACAGGGATCTTGTCAGGTCATGCGGAGAGGAAATTAGAAAGGCAAAAGCCCAACTAGAACTCAGCTGGCCACTGTTGTAAGGGATAATAAGAAAAGTTTTCATAAATAACAGCAAAAAGAGAGCCAGGGAGAACTTCCATCCTCTAGTGGATGCAAGGGGGAACATTGCCACTAAGGATGAGGAAAAGGCCAAGCCACTCTCCATCATTTATCAGCAGTCCTGGATAACAGGGGAGGTCCCAGATGACTGGAGGGTGGCAAATGTGATGCCTATCTTCAAGAAGGGCCGGAAGGAGGATCTGGGGAACTACAGACCTGTCAACCTGACCTCAGTACTGGGGAAGATTATGGAGAGGTTCATCCTGAGTGTGCTCACCAGGCACATGGAGGACAATCAGGGGGTCAGACCCAGTCAGCATGGGTTCATCAAAGGCAGATCTTGCCTAACCAACCTGATTTCCTTCTACGACCAGGTGACCCGCATGGTAGATGAGGGAAAGGCTGTG